ATCTATATGTGCATATTCGATAGGCACGTAATATGAGAGTTTGAACAAGGATACGAGTTTTGGGATTCGACGGCAGGATGCGGCGCTACGCCCATATCCTTCACACGCTCTACGGCGGCGCCGCGAGCGTTGATCTCTTCATTCAGAAGCACCCCATATTCAACGACACGGAGATTATATCGGCAAACTCGGTAGACTGCCTGAACAGAGCTGGGGCCGACGACGCCGACCTTGAACCGTCACAGGTGTTCTTCGAGCTGTTGCTCAAGAAGGCCAACGAGCAAACGTCCATTATGGAACGCATCTTTCCAGAAGCGGAAACCTCCTTTTGGGAGCTCATCGAGAAGATCCGAGACGACATCATTTTGGAATACTCCACTTCCTTGTTTGATGCGGCACATCAGCGAAGCCTTGGGGCCTATCTAAAGGCGGTGTCGGGTGTTTTCGAACAGACAATGCTGTTCTTCCAGTCTTTGACGCCACCGAAACCCTCAAAAGAGACGATCGAGACCAAGGCCAGGGAGATGACCATTAGAGTGTTTGAGCCGCACGTTGACCTTTATCTGCAAGAGGAGCTGGACTTTTTCACCAAGCACGCCGAGTCAGAGGTCGGCACATGGGAGAAGAGGTTATCAGAGCAGGACGCCTCCGTCGAGTCATTTTACATGTCGAACATCAATCGCCAAGTTGATAAGACGGACTTTTTGAGTTCATTCAAAAAGGTCGTCATGATGCCTGTCAGCGTCCTTCCCAGCTTCCAGGCACCCTTTGGCAGCGGCGCAAAGCCCTCAACAGCGACGCCAGCCAATGGTTCAGGGCTCAACACACCTCAATTGTGTCGTCCTGAGACGCCGGGCGTCGGGGGGAGTGTGGATGGGCGCAAGAGTCCTCTTCCGGACAAGGCGCCGACGGACTAGCTGGCAGCCAAGGCAGCGCTGATGGCGTCTCGTCTCGAAGGCATCAAGCATTGTTCAGTTTGTGTGGCTCTCAACCTCGTCATGCGGCGCAGACGAGCCTGGGACGGGCGGCGCAGTTCATCCGACTCAAGGGCCAGTACGGCGAAGAAGCGCGCGAGCAGTGCGAGACCATCTTTGTCGTTCTCCTGCGGATTCTCGGGACGAAGCATGTCCAGGTCGGTTTCGAGAAGGCTGTCGGGCATCTCTCCAACTACAACCCGCGCGAGGTCAGCCACCACGACCAGTCGGGCGTGGCGCCGCTGGTGCAGTTTATCGAGCTTGTCAACGTCGGCGACCTCATCTCGCAGATGATTGACGTGTTCTACGAGCAGCAGCTCGCGGGCCCCAAGATTGCCGACAAGAACGACTTTCTCGACCCGGCGGGCCTCGCCAAGCGCAAGTGGGAGCAGATGCTCGACGAGAACGTGGCGGCGGGCCTCAACAAGGGCATCGACGTGCTCATGGACGAGGTCGAATTCCTGCACGGCTCGACGCAGCTGCCGACCGACTACAACCCGCAGCTCGACGCCGCCAGCGGCATCCTCGCGGACCCGGGCCCGACGGCGACGGCGCAGCGCATCGTCGAGCTCGTGTCGGCGCACACGCGCATGCTCGTCGGCAGCACGGACAAGTCGATGCTCGACGTGTTCAACGGCGAGGTCGGGCTTCGCCTCTTCACGGCCGTCTGCAAGCACCTCAAGCGCCAGCGCGTCAGCACGGCCGGCGCCATCAAGCTCATCGCCGACATGAACCTCTACTTTGAGTACATACGCACGCTGCGCAACCAGGACCTGCTGGCCTACTTTAAGGCGCTGCGCGAGCTCAGCCAGATCTACCTCATTGAGCCGCAGCACGCCAAGGAGATGGCCACCATCATCGCCGACGGTGACCGCTTTGGCGGCATCTTCCGCGCCGAGGAGGTCTACGAGTACGCCCAGCGCCGCGCCGACTGGTACCAGGTCAAGACCAAGGTCGAGCGGGCCATGTACGGGATGGAATGTCAGCTCATGTAATGATGCACGAAGCACGAATATAGAAGCATGATGAAACCCACAAAACTCAAGAATGTCCATGTGCCTGTGTCTGTGAAAGAAGAAACATGTGAAAGAAGGAAAAAACATTGAATTCCTGGCGCAGTTGGCCAATCTCGAGTGGTAACCGTCTTTTCTTTCTGGTTTTCATATACCCACCATCCCCCATGTGTCGTACATGTGTCCCGAACGCCCG